CTGTGGCCGGCCACCTAGGTGCGGGGCTCCTCTCTTTCTCTGGCCCTCCCTCCGCCTTTCTCAGTGTGATGTCCTCTTCCGAGAACTGACACCTCCTGACAAAATGCCCCAAAGGATGTGAGGCCGTCTTACCGTCCTTGCCTCTAAGGAGTCCTCTGGTTCACTTCTTCCAGTGATAAGCCAGTGTTCCCATCTTTTGTTCCTGTGGTCACCAGTTATTTTAGTTGACTTGACAGCACATGACGATGACAACTACAGCATCACCCAGCACCAAAAATTAGCTTTGCTACTGTTAGTTGTTAACCAGTCCGTTCTGACTTATGGCAATTTCTTTTAGTTGTTGTCTTTGTTTTTCCTAGACTTAATTGAGATGCAACATCTCAATGCTACATATGTTGTCAATTATAGTTCAGAGAAGGAAGTCATGCCATAGACTCAAGAATTAGAAAGTGCTGAGCCTTTAAGTCAAGTTTTGGTGGCATAGTGAGTAAAGAGTTGTATTGCCAACCCAAAGGCAGGTGGTTCAAATCTACCAGCTGCTCCACAGGAAAAAGACGGGCAGTTTCCTCTTCTCCAGTTTACAGCCTCTGAAAATCTGCTGGAGGATCAGCAGCGAGTCGGTTTTTACTCCACAGCTGTGACTGAGTGAATGAGGGAACCTTGAACTCCTTTAGCACCTTTCCCCAAAACAAAAGCTCTAGACTAAAGTAACAAGTTTGGAGCAGTAACAAAACTTTACTAGGGTTTAGTTTAGTGTTCTCATGTTACACATCAACAAGCTACTTTTGTTCTTTGCTCATCATTCTGGTTGGTGACTTGAATGGACACACAATCTGGAACCACGCCTTTTTCCCTCCTCTTACCTTTTATCTCAGTTTTTCTTATTAACATACTATCTGGCAGGGCGCTCTGGTGGCCTCTTGATAAGAAGCTGCTCTGTAATCCCAGGTTTATGCAGTTCGAATCCACCAGATGCTCTGTTGGAGGAGGGGCAATCTCCTCCTGGACCAGTCAGACCTGATTTGATGGTACACGCACACAAAATATGGGGGGAAAAAATTTAAAAAAAACCCTAAACATACTATCTGGGCTCAGTCTTTTTCTTTATTGCACTGAACTTAGCTAATTAAACCATTTTGGTAATAGGACAAAGAATAGATGGAATTCTGTAAGTGGAGATGTTTGTGAAATTTTTGTTTTAATATGGCATGTGTTCTGTAGGATTTTTTTTTCAATAGAAATACGTCAAGAGTAGACTAAGGAGTGAAAGTAGATGGCTTGAAGAACTTTATGTGAATCTAACCTAGGAGAGGTCAGATAGCCTCTAGAACCATTTAAGTCCTTTCACTGAGATGGGGTACAGTCAGTGGTAATGTCAAAGTTCCAGTTTCTCTGATGGGTTAGTATTTCCCGAATGTGCCCGGAAGTATAGTAGTTTGAGTCTGTGAGACAGGAGTTTTTTGGAGCTGCTTGTCCTGTAGTAATTGGACTTTATTTCCCCAGGTGTAGCCAGATGAGTTGGGGTTAATTTTGAATGTTGGGTGTAGTATTCCTTTGATGCTTGTTGCTAGACACCTTTTCCCTGGTTCTGCCTCGCAGTGACGCTGTTTACCACTGAAGATACGCTACGCTACCTTGTACTGTCCTTACACTTGTTGCGGTGTCTGAGGCCCTTGTGTCCACTGGGATGGTTCATCTCATTGAGATTCTTTTTTTTTTTTTGCCGACTTTTTCCTTTAGCAAGTCTGATAGCCTTCTCCAAGGACCGGTCACTCTGGATAATATTTCCAGATCACACAAGATGAAGATTCAGCATCTTTGCTTCAGAATAGTATCCTGACTGCATTTCTTCCAAGACAGATTTATTTGCCTTTCTGAAAGTTCATGGTGTATTCGGTGTCCTTGTTGTCAGGTGCCATTGAGTCAGGGACAAGTCACAGCGACCCTGTGAACAGACTGAACCCTGTCCTGTCCTGCACCAGCCTCATCATCTCTGACTTCTTGAGCTCATGGCTAGAGTCACCGTATGGGTCCATCTCAGTGAGGGTCATCCTCTCTTTTGCTGACTCTCGACCTTTTCAAGAGTGACGTCACTTTCCAAGGAATGCCTCCCCTGGCAAGCTGCCCAGAATATGCCATCCTTGCCAACACTGTGTAAGTCAAAGGCATCAATTCCTTGACCTTTCCTAATCATTTTCCAGCTTTCACATGCGTAGGGGGTGATTGAAAATACCATCGTCAGGCACACCTTAGTCCTCACAGTCCTTGCATGCCAGCATTTGTAAGTAGGTCCTTTGCAGCCGATTTCCCTAATGCAGTACATCCTCTTGATTTTTTTTTTTAATAACAAACATGCTTTATTTTAAATGCACACTTTGGTGAAGAAGATGGAGGCGCAGGTAGTGTCAGCATGGAAGGAACAAAGACAAGAGTAGGGCATTTATATATTCTGCGGTGGCCGGTTGGGGTAGTCATGGCAGTTTGAAGGGCCTGGGGACATTTTTCACTCTGTTTTATTTCCTACAGTTGGTCATAAAACTGTGTTTACGGGGTAATATTTTCTGAAACAGTAGAGATTAGGGTTAGAAGTAGGGTCAAAGTAAGGTCAGAAGGCCAGCAAAATGGAATTGCTTTGGTTTCAACCTTATGTTCCCTACTTAAAACAAATGGGGAAAGGGATGAAGATCTGCTAAAAACTGCCTCCTCCTGCAGTAGGGGGAAGCCAGGGGTCTGGTTTGTTAAGGCTTCAGTTCGATGGATAAGTCAGGTGGTAGTGCTAAGAGACTCAAGTTCTGGAGTTCAGTAGCTTCTGAGGTGCAATGAGCAGAGGTCCTTGGAAGAAGACCTCTCCCTGTAGGGGCTACCAGATGAAAGGTCCATCCTCTGATTTCTTGAGTGCTTCCTCTATATACATTGATTGTGGATTCAAAGAACATGAAATCCTTGAGCACTTCTTTAACTATTGTGATGTTGCTTGTTGTTGCAGATTTTAGTTTATGTTGACGTGTGAGTCACACTGTTGTTGGTGTTTTAATTTTTTTTTTTACGTTTCCACACATTTGTAATATAAATATTGTAATTATAGTAAGAATTTAACAACCCACTGAAAAATTTTTGAGACTTTGGAGAAGTCCCTGCCTGACTGCAGAGTTGCCCAATGCAACACGTCTTTTGGTTTCTTAACTCCTGGTAACCAAGTGTGTTGATTGTGGAGTTAAGTAAGATGAAATCATTCACAGGTTTTTTTTTCCCCTTTTTTATTTGAGTGGCAAAGTCTGAATCATCTACATAATAATTCTTCTTCTAGCCCTGTTGCCACGTTGTTCATATAGTACAGTTTTCTGATAATTTGTTTAGTTCACAGATTGAATGAGTATAGTGAAAGTTTACACCTTTGAGGAACTGTCCTGATTTTATAGTGTTCCCTTGTTCTGTTCTAAGGACTGCCGTTTGGTCATCGTGTATGAATATAGTGAAGTACTCTGAAGTTCCCATTCTTCACAGTGTTAGCCACAGTGTGTTAGGATCTACACAGACAAGTGCATTGAGACAGTAAGAGTCAGACAGACCTCTTTCTGGGGCTCTCTGCTTGCAGCCAGCAGCCAGCTAACATCAGTAGCGCTCCCCCTCCTTCTGTGTCCACTTCTGAAGCTGGCTTGGATTTCTGAAAGCCGCTTGTTGATGTACTGTTGAAACAACTTTTGAATTATGGTCGGCAAGGTTTTATGTGGAGGTTATTTTGATTGTATTTGTCGTGGTAATTTCTGCTTTCTTTTGTATTGTTGTTCTTTGGGATGGACATATTTGTGGATCTCTTCCAGCCTGTTGGCCAGGTAGCTGCTTTCTAAGTTTCTTGGCACAATGGTTGGGCTTCTCCAGCACTGCTTCATATCCTGAAATACTTAGTTTGATATTCTGTTAATTCCTGTAGCCTTGTTTTTTCTCCAGTGTTTTTGGCACTGCTTGGACTTCTTCCTTTAGTATCATCTGCTCTTGGTCATGTGTTTCATTGTGAAATGGTTGACCGGTAACCAGTTCTTTTTGGCATAGTGACTCTTTGTATTTCTTCCATCTTGTTGTTGTTCTTGATTGCCTTCGAGTAGAGTACAACTCATAGGGACCCTATGAACAAAAGGCCTGAAGTCCCTCTACAACTGTCAACGTTTATCAAAGTTCAGAGACTTTCTGGAGGCATGTTGTTTAGGAAGTGGATGCCATTCCTGCTTCCAAACCAGTCTTCTTGATCTTTATTTGTTTCATTTCATTTTTGATGATTTTATGTGTTTCTAGACTCTTAGTATGTTGTTTAACATTCTCTTAATGAATGTTTGTGGTTGTTTCTTCTAATTTGAGAAGTGTTATAGTAACAAATGAAGGATTCAGAAGCTTCAGTCCATCCAAGCTGTTAAGGCTGACTCTCTAGAGGAGGCAGTTCTTCCCTAGTCATAGTTTAGAAGGGCTTCTTCTAACACTCGGACAGACAGGCTTCTGCTGCTGTCCATCACCCGAGGGGTTCGACCATCCCAGCACTGGGTGGGCCAGCACTCTGGCTTAGGGGCTGGTCTTCCCGGCACTGTGTGGGACAGCACTCTGTTCATTGCATTAGGCTTTTAAGGGTCGTTGTTTCAGAGGTGGATAGCCAACCCTGCTTCTTGGTCTGGAAGCCCCACTGAAACCTGTCCACCAGGAGAGACCCTGCAGGTATTTGAAATACCAAGTGGCACGATTTCTACCTTCATAGCAACATGCAGGCAAGTCCGGGACAGTCTGCCAGGTGAATGCTGGTTCTTTTCACCAGCAGTGTCTGTATGGACATAGGTCTGAGTTGATTGTGCTCTCCCGTGAAATGCTGTTTGGATATTAGTGTTACTTCCTCTGAGTTATTTTCATCCCCAGTGACTTCTCATCTAAGTATACAACTGAACCAGATGACTGTGTTTTAAAATTTTGAGCCTGATGGTGGCTTATTTAAAGTTAACAATTTTTCCCTTTGTTTTCAGGTGCGGAATGTGGAGTAAATGCAGATGTTGAGAAACACCTTGAATTGGGCAAGAAGTTACTGGCAGCGGGGCAGCTCGCTGACGCTTTGTCACAGTTCCATGCTGCAGTAGGTTTGTATCCTAGCACCAAAATATTCCATGGCGATCTTGGTGGATTCTGATCTATAGCTTCTTGTTGCGGATAAATTTAAAACTAAGCATTATTTAGCCCCTGTTTAAACATTTAAGACCACACCTCTCAGGCAGTTCAAATCTCCTAGTGGCTCCTGGGGAGAGAAATGGGGATTTTCTCTCTGTGCAGTTTACAGCCTTGGAAAACTTGCCAGAGGGTCAGCTGTGTGTCAGTTCTGAATTGACTGGAAGGGCTTGAGAAGTTTTGGTTCAGTCAGGCTTTCAAAAAGTATTTCCAGGATCCTGATAAAATAGTCTAATAAAAGAAATACTTCATACTTTAAAGCACATGCATCTAACATGAAAGACTTTTCCAGGTACTGGGGATTTGTTACTTAGTACTGGGAATAACTCAAGAAAATTTTGACTGGATACTTTCCTCCATGCAAACAGATTTCACTGGATACAGTTTAACTTTTCTGACAGGTTGTGGTCCTCAGTTTAATTGTTTCACTTTGATATCCTTAGAGAATCCTGTGACTTATTGCTGCCTCACTGCTGGTCAGACTTCTACCACCTGCAATGTTACTTCTAGTGTATCTCTGTGGCAGTAGATTTCTTAGCTGTCATTGCAGCTTTTAATTTATTGAGACTGTGAGAAATGAAGTGGCCAGAATAAAGCAATTCTAGGTGAGAACTTAAAAGGTTCCCCTGTGAGTCAGTGTGTAAACTTGTTCTCAGGCATTTTGACATTCATTTTTCTCCAATTTTTAAAATATACTAATTGGAGTATTAAAGGGTGAAAAGTGAATACCCTGCAGGGTAAAGAGATGTGGTATGTTTTTAATGAGATACAGTTGCACTCATCAGAAGGAGCTGTGCTGCTAGCCTGAAGGTGCATGGTTCTAGGCCTCCAACTGCTCTGTCTGAGAAGGATGGGCAGTTCCCTCTGGTGCGATTTACTGCCTTTGAACACTCACTGGAGGGTCAGCTGTGGGTAGGTTCTGCCTCTATGATACATAACAACAATAACACAACATTGTTATAACTGGGATGCACTGATGCTGTAGTTCCTGGTATATTTTCTCTGGCACTTTCTATCTTCCCATGTGATTTACATCCTGGAAACCCTGTGGTGGGCTGGCTAGAAGTTGATTCTGATGAGGTTTTGTTATAACTTACTATAAATGAAAGGTAGTTAGATTCTAATCTAACAGAACCTTCCTCCTGCTTTTTCTTAAACTCATATTTTATTACTGACTGGGGTCTTCACTGTACTACTAGGAAACCTAGATTTTATTCTTGACCTTATCACTTGACAGTTCTGTGACATTGGTCAAACTCCATTTTAAAACAAGTTACATTAAAAGAAATTATGAACAAGCTTCCAGTAATTTATTCACTGTGCGTCCCAGAGGAATTTTTGAAAGATCAGGTGGGGAAATAGGGTCCAGTCACATATGTGTGATATATGACATTCTAATTTTTGTATTTCTGAAATTTTAGACTTTCTAAAAACAGATTTAATAATTTAACAGGGTTTTCTTAACCATGGAGAGTTTATGTTCTGCAGTATTTTGCTGATTAGGTAGTTAGCTCTTCTTTGAGGAGTAGCTTGGTATAAGAATTTGCAGTAGTGACTACATGGCCCCTTCCTCACCAAGTCCAGCTTTTCCCAGCACTTCATACTGTCTTTCATGCTGCACCTAATAACCTTAAAATGTCACATTTACAGTTTTCTGCATTTTAGAAAATGTCCAAAATACTGAGTTTCCCCTACTGCCCCAGGAGTATTTACAGCCATTGATATCATCTCCTTTTTTTTATACTTTGTTTTCTTTAATCTCACATTATAGCAGAAAGCATTACAGGCTCTGGCATACTGTTAAAGTAGCTTAAAACCGCTGGCTGCTTCTGTTCCGCTGGCTTTACTATTGAGACAGAATGGACGTTCTCCACAATACCCAGTAAAATATTACTGTTTCCAAAGGAAACTCGTGTAATGTTTATTTGTGAAAATCTTTCAAGAGAAAACGTGAAACACTGCTATTGCATCCAGGATTCAAATAGTAATCATTTCCTTCATCACGTTTTGGCAAGTAACAGTGATTCTTAAATGTGACAGGCGTAATGATTTCTGAAGACCACGTTTGCAATTTCATAACAATTACCATTTAAATTTATGTTAAGTGCTGTTCACACTGGGTGTTTTTTTGTTAGTACCTTAGAGTCAGAACCCACTCATAGCTTGACCCTCCAGCGGTGTTTAGAGGCAGTAAATTGCATGAGAGGAGACTGCTCATCTTTCTCCCACAGAGCAGCTGGTGGATTTGAACCTTACGGCTTTGGGTTGGCAGTGCAGTTCTTTGCCGCGAAGGCACCAGCGCTGTCCTAACAGACTATGGAAAAGAAAATTCTCGCCTACTGAGGATCTGTACAGCCAGCCACGCCCACTGCTGTTGAGTGCGTGCTGACTCGAGCGACCCTGCATCGGGCTTGAGTCTGTCAATCGTGAGGGGAAGAGACCTAACCATCTTCTTCCCTCAGAGCCACTGGTGGGTGTGAACAGCCAGAGAAGGGCCACTTCTGGTCAGTAGTGCATCTCCGTATGAACTGCACCGCCAGAGCGCCCCAAGCTGACATTAACCCTGGTAACTTGTGAAATAGCGTCTGTGTTTTAATACACTGCATTAGAGCTGCATGGTGTACGGGATGGAGAGGAACAAAGAGTGATTGTATTCAGTGTTATCAGATATCTTATAGTATGAAACTAAACCCGTGTTTTTTGTGTATTTATTTGGTTTTTTTAAAACTTCATTTTTATTTTATGCTGGTTTGCCTACAAAGACTATATACATGCGTTTCACACTAGTGTTCATTTACATTGTGTTTCATACAATTATTCATTATGGTTTTTAAAGTTTTTTTTAATTATACCAGTTTATTTACAAAATTCAAATACATTGTTTATTCAGACCAGATTACTCCAATTTCCCTCACACCCCCCATCAAATTATACAACCGCATGAAAAATCCCATCCACCCCCCCACATCCTCGTCCCTCAGCTTCCACCCCCTCCCCTCCTTTGGATCCTCATACTCCTCCTACGATAATGAAAACTGAACCCAGGTTTAAAGCCCGGTCTCGTTCACTTGTGGCTTTTCGTGTAGTAGACTCCAGTTTGGGATCTGCTTGCTGTTTTAGGACGAAGCGCCCGGGAAAGCTGTTTCCGTTTGCCATTGCAGGTGACCCCCGTGCCTCTGAGCACATGGTTTCTTGATTCTTATGTTGAACTCTTGTTATCTGAGAGCCTATTTTTGTTAGTTCAGTTTTGATAGTTGAAGTTCTGGTCCTATTTCATATCTTAAAAAGATCTGAAAACAGAAAAATAATCTAAATGATAATATCTCCACATATGCTGTAATCAAATAATACAGAAGCTCCATCATACTTTGGAAGGTTTTCTGCAGTGACTGGAATGATCTGTTTTTATCCAGATAGAAGTGCGTGTTAGACTTCAGGGCTCTTTACGTTAAATGCTAGCAATATGCAGTTTTTATTGAAGGAACTTCATTACGCAGTTCAGAATCAGAAGTGCCCGTTGTTGAACTTGCCACTGCTAATTTCATATGGGACAGGGACCCGATGCCCCGTTAGGTACAGCCTTGGTCGATATGAGCCTTTCGTCTTCAGTTTTTTTAGGTCCCTCCCATGATTCGTTAGTCTGGAGGTCTCGATGTCACCGATGGCATGCTTGGGGCCATTATTAGAATTTGTTTCCATTTACTTGCATTTGAGTATCTACTATGGGCCAAATGCTGTGGGAACACAATATTGAGTCTTGCATTAACCCCTCATTCAAGGAGTCTTGTTTCTAGAGACTAAGGTGTGTATCTAAAAATCAGTATTGAGAAGTAGCAGTAGGCATTAAGTGCATTACGATATATATGTTATAGAATGTGTGTGTGTGTGTGAGAGACACAGAATGTTGATTAAATGGAGGAAATAGAAGGTGTATTTTTATTTGTGTAATCAAATAAGTCATTTGACTTTTACCTCAAAGACATTAGAAAAATGACACCAAAAGCATAATCAATAAATAAAATGGAGAAAAGATATAAAAAGATGAAGATGATAGTGTGTGTATATAGATGTGCTTGCTTGTGCCTTAAATCATGTTCTTTTTATTATCTCTGTGAAAATGAATCATGGGAAACTTAAGGTTTTATTTCTTCTTTTTTTTTTAAAAAATGAATGCATTCATGTAGAAGTTATTGAAATATATAGACAGTGTAAAGAGAAACCCTCCTCTGTCTGCCCAGATAACTACTGTTGGCATGTAATGAATTTCCTTTCGGTCTCAAGAACAGTTATCTAGGGGAGCTCTGGTGGCCTAGTGGCAAGGAGCTGCAACTACAATCCCAGAGGCGCATGGTTCGAATCTACCAGATGCTCTGCTGGGGAAGGAGGGACAATCTCCTCCTGTACCAGTCAGATCTGATTTGACGGTACACTCACACAAAAATAAAAAAAATTAAAAAAAAAAAAAAGAACAGTCATCTAAGTACACGTTGGTATCAAATTGCTCTCCTGGCCAGTCATGCTGACTGGAGATGAGTATTTTAGAATAGTTATGTACTCTAACTTAAATATAAAGTGCACATAAAATGTTCTCTGTCTAACCTGCTCTAAATATAGTCTTCCTTTGTATTCTTTCTTCAAGCTAACTCCATGTTGTAAGAAGTGTCCTAACAAATAAACCATTGCCATTACACACATTTCCTGCCTTCCACGGAAAGAGGACCAGGAGAGAACTTCAGCAGGGCTTAACCAGAACATGTGGGCACTCTTACTTTTTTTTAAAGTCTTATTGTGCGTCTGTTTAAAGCTTACATGTTTTTGTTGTTATGTGCTATCGAGTCGTCTGCGACTCATAGTGACCCTATGTACAATAACCCTAAACCCAGCTCTGTCCTGCGCCAACCTTATTGTCTCTGAC